CTTTAAGGTGTTTCATCATAGCACTCAGCTACAAAACATCAAAATTAACATCTGGTCTACATTGAACACCCAACAAGTTCAACTGATCAAAAAAGCTTCATGACCAATCTGTCTTCCGTAGATATATTACTTCTTTCTGTGATATTCTAGCATGTTATGATCAGTCTTTTTTTTTAAAAAATAGAAATTGTTATCCCAGCTATTTACTGAAAGAATGAAGCTATACGATTCCACATTTTGAAACAGAAGAATTTTTCCTATAGAAAGCCAAAATCAATGTAAGTTAAACATGAATCAACAGGCAAATTGTGATTACAAATTACAAAATGTACATTATGAATTTCCTCACAGACCAACTAATCAAACTCAGTCACAAAGTCCTTCAAAACCCTGTCTTCCTCAAAAAGAATTTTTACTCCACTTCTTGGTTTTGGCCTGATCTGCAGCTGTCAGAAGCACACAACCAAAATGAGTTCTACAGGCACAGTCTTTTCCAAAAATGGAACATGTATGCAGAAATTAATCAACTCTGTCAACAATGTTCTAGATCATGCAGACCTTCAGATAAAGAAATAGCTGTAGCATTTATATCTTTGTTTATGATTCTGGATCTAGCTTTTGCCTTTTTCAGTCTGCTTGTACTGCAACACAGGACTCTCATTTACTGAACTCGAAGCTCTGTGCCTTTTTATATGCTTTCAATCAGGAGTTTTGGTTTCTAATCTCAGTTTCAATTAAATCTGGAATAGAAATTTAGTAGCAGAAATAATGACCAATTATATTGAACTGATACAAGACTGAAGAAGTGAACCAGATGGATCATCTGCCAAGACTGAAATTACAAAGACACTCATAGCCCAAATTACACTGCAAAATCCTCCTCACTAGCATCTGTGGACTGTGTCAAAATTGAGAGAACTGTCATCGAGACAAGTCATGCAGCAGCCTAACATTTCAGTCAGTGTTGTAGATTCCTCTACCACATTCATTGGTAAGTCCTGTCCCACTGACAGGGAAGTGCAACAGCAGTGACAGCACAGCATCATGCAGTTGGAATGGAAGTCCCCAATGCTGATTTTAGATTACATAAAGTCTAATTACCTCAGATTTCTTTATTCATCTTTATTCATTCATGGGACGAGGACGTCACTGGCTACGCAGCATTTATTGCCCATCCCTAATTGCCCAGAAGGCAGTTAAGAGTCAACAACATTGCTGCGGGTCTAGAGTCACATGTAGGCCAGACCAGGTAAGGATGGCAGTTTCCTTCCCTAACTCTCTCTCTCCCACTCTCAAACACACACACACACAAATCTATGGAATGAATTTGTATTTGCAGATACATCTTATTTGCTTCAAAAAGCATGCAATTTATGGACTCTCAGTCAATGCGGCATTTTATAAATTCCTACTTTAGAAATAAAATCAGTCTGACTCCAAACTAAAACACAAGCAGATTCTAAACAAGGCCTCACATCTAACATGCATTGTCTGACATAAAATGTCACCTCTTCTTTACACTGATAAAACTTTCTGTTCTCTCTGGACCGTGACTTGTAGGAATTCAGAGATTTACATATACATAGTAATCAGTGGAAATCTTCTAACTGATTAAATATTTAACAGCATCTTAGGTTTGTTTAAAACATCCTCATCAGTGGTGTGAAACTTTGATCTTTTACTTATAAATTCCATATCTGATACTACCTCTCTCATTAACACCTGAAGGAGGACTGAGGCTCTGAAAGCTTGTGTTTTCAAACAAACCTGTTGGACTATAACCTGGTGTCATGTGATTTCTGATCTTGTCCACCCTAGTCCAACACTGGCACCTCCACATCCTTCTCTAAAGGACATTTGTGAACCAGATGGGTTTTTCCTGACAATTGATTCACAGTCATCATTAGAATCTTAATTCCAGATATTTATTGAATTCCAATTCCACCATCTGCCGTGGCAGGATTCAAACCCAAGTCCCCAGGACATTTCCTCAGTCTCTGGATTAACAGTCCAGTGATAATACCACTAGGCCATTGCCTTCCCCTTCAAATGTGGGGAAGGGGACCTCTTTCAGCTTATTGCCCCTTTCATCGTAGGAGGCTTCAATTTTGTTTACGAGCCTAATGTGTACAGTAAGTCCATATGAATACTTACTAACAATAGCATCAGCAACCTTTCATATATTTCTAAAATGGTGCTGATAGGTTAATTATTTTATCAGAAGCGTTCATCGGATGATTGTTTATTTACTTGATGTTGGTCTTATCAGTTATCACGAGTTGCCATAGTTTCACTAATTATAAAATGGCATTGAGGACCAATGGCCTCTTCCTGCACAGAAAACAAGAAAAAGATAAAACAAAGAACTGCGGATGCTGGAAATCTGAACAAAAACGGAAATTGCTGGAGGAACCCAGCGGGATCCGGCAGCATTTGCGAAAAGAGAGCCGTGTTAATTTATAAAATGCGGTGACTTTTCTTCAAAGGCGGCTTCGAGTCCCTCTTGTTATCACGTGACTCTATGTTTACGGGGTGAATGGCCAACGGTAAAAACAGTACGAACTACGGCAATTGTGATTGGCTGAAGCAGCAACCGAACCGCGCAACCAAGGTAATTGTCCCGCCCATCTGTCAAAATCTGACCAATAGAAATACATAGATTCCCAGCACCAAGTGGTGGTTCGCTGTGAGCAATGTCAGTCAGAGTGGCTTTTGGCTCCGGGCTCGGGCTCGCGATGAAGATCCTCCGATGGCTCCTGAAGGGCCGGGGTTCAGCCCCCACCCTCACCCCCACCCCGGCCCTCACCCCCACCCCCACCCCGGATCCGGATGCTGCTCCCAGACAGCTGGAGCATTTCTCGAAGTTCTCGCCATCGCCGCTCTCTATGAAACAATTCCTGGACTTCGGTAAGAGAGAAGCTGGAGTCCGACGTGCGAAGCGCTGGAAGGTCCATTCTCCATCTCCTGCATTTACTCCACTTCCCGGAATGAGGGTAACCTGGCCCTGCGTCTGGGTGAGTCCGAGCACCCACCCGACATTCCAGGCCCTGTCCTCCCTCCTCATCCCCCGGGATCTCCAGACCCTGTCCTCCCTCCTCATCCCCCGGGATCTCCAGACCCTGTACTGCCTCTTTAAACCCCAGGATCTCCAGACCCTGTACTCCCTCCTCAAATCTCGGGATCTCCAGACCCTGTACTCCTTCCTCATCCCCCGGGATCTTCAGACCCTGTACTCTGTCCTTTCCGGGGATCCCCACACCCAGCACTGTCCCATCTCCTGTGATCCCCATTTTTCTATCCCTTGTGTTTTTCCCTCTCCCCACAGATTTGGGAATCCTAGGCACCAATCTGCGCAACTGTCTACTGGTGTGATCCTCCTCAAAAGACATAGGAACAGAATTAGGCTATTTGGCCCATTAAGTCTGCTCCACCATTCCATCATGGCTGATAATAGTTCTTAACCCATTCTCCCACTTTCTCCCTGTGAACCTTAATTCCCCTACCAACTAAGGGCATATATATCTCTGTCTTAAGTGCACTCAAGTACCTGGCGTCCACAGCCCTCTCTGCAGCAAATTCCACAGATTAACCACACTCTGCCTGAAGAAATTCCTGCTCATCTCTGTTCTAAATGGCTGTCCCTTCACTCTGAGGCTGTGACCTCGGGTCCTAGTCTGACCTACTAGTGGAAACACCTTCTCCATGCCCACTCTATCCAGCCTGCTCAGCATCCTGTAAGTTTCAGTCAGTTTCCCCTGTCATTCGTCCAAACCCCATTGAGTATGGGATCCAGGGTTCTGAACCACTCCTCATATGACAAGGCCTTCCACCCAGGGTAATTCTTGTAAACATCCTCTAGACCTCCTCTAAGGTCAGCACATTCTTCTTTAGATACAGGGCCCAAAACTGCTCACAATGTTCCAAATTCCTCATTTCCTTGGGGAAAGGTATGGCTGAATAGTGGAAAATACACTATTTCACCTCTTTTGAAGAAGTTCTGTGTGCCCCGAACCTGTTCCACACTGTGTGAATTTCATATTCATTCCTGCTACTCACTATGAGGAGAACCCCAGTCTATTCCCACCCTTCAGATGTGAGGTTACTACATCTGTCAATCTAATTTAGAACATGTGCAGTTTTTAACTACCCATCTCTTGGGAGGGTGCTGTGAGTCCCAGGATCCGCAACTGCTCATCTCTATATTTAGATGCCCCTGTGTCTTTCGGCTGCACGCATCTCCAGAGATTAATACATTCTGCACCCATATCTTCACACATGTTCCAGTATCCAGCATCTGCCCTTCCCTCTGCAGTGTCGGATCCCAAGTTGGGGTGTTCCTGTACCCAATAACCTCCCCTCTCCCCAGTAGGCCCTTGGTGAATCTCTCCACCGTATGTTTCTTTCTCTCCATCATATTTCTTTCCCTGTGATATATGATTGTTTCGCTTGCCTGTTAGAAATGTTAACCCTACTGTTTTAAGAAGAAAATTTTGTCCAGCAACAAGAACTAATCCAGTAACAATTCATGGCCTGAAACGTTAATTCTGATTCTTTTCTTCACAGATACTGCCAGACCTGCTGAGCTTTTCCAGCAACTTCTGTTTTTGTTCCTGATTTACAGCACCCGCAGTTCTTTCAGTTTTTATTTAACAATTATGAAAACTTGCCTCCAGACTTCATTCATTGCTTTGTTTATTGAATTTTGAGTGTTTCGGTAGTTGATACTTTGGTTTTTGTCATTGCTACTGTTTCTAAATTTCATGGTTCTTCCAAGCTTTTGAATATGTTTTAATTACAGCCTGATGAATTAATTTTGACAAAATAGCACAATATAAAATTTACACAAGAAAGGCCATTGCCATTGCCAAATATCATAATACAAACAGAATCAATGGCAATGCCTATCCATCTGGCAATGGCTAGCAGCTAGTGAAGGTATTTTCAAAAACGCAATTAGCCCCATTTTTGAGCATGCTGCTGTAGCAGTACCTTAGCAGCTCAACTGAGGCTACACAGCAGCAGCCAATGCCCATGAAATTGACAGCAGGCTAGAGTTTCTTTTGCAGTATATGGACATGTTTGAAAATGTCCTAAGACACTGTTGTATACAAAATAAGCTGTTTATTGTAACAGAAATATGGATTACATTGTTCATGTTTACATGCTGACCTTGGTATGATCTACAGTTCTTTTGCAAAGTGACATGCAACTTTGGGTTCTTTGTATTCTTGTCTGTGACAGGTTCCATATTTAGCTGAACTCTGTGCTCACCAAAAGTTGCTGCCAAGCTTTACAGGCAGTACATGTTTGTATTGTTATATTTGATGCCACAGTGTTAAGAATTGTTAAGGAATGATATGTCTATTTCTAAACTATCTTATCGGGTTACTACGAAAATAGAAACAAAATGTCAGCAAAAAAGACCCTGAGCTTCCAGTTGCCTGCCACTTCAACATACCACCCTGTTCATTGGCTAACATCTCTGTCTCAGGCTCGCTGCAGTGCTCCAGCAAAGCTCAGCGCAAGCTGGAATAATAGCACCTCATTTTTCCACTTGGGGACCCTGCAGCCTTCTGGACTCTACATCAAGTTCAACAACTTTAGGGCTTGAGCTCTCCCATGTCCTTACCTCAACTCTCACACACCAGGCCTTGTTATCACATACAACAAGGTGCAGAGCTGGATGAACACAGCAGGCCAAGCAGCATCATAGGAGCAGTTATCACATGGTCTGCTATTACACATAACTCATTGTTAGCCGGTAACAGTCCCCGTTAATAGCTATTCACCCTCCTAGCCAGATCGTTATCCTCTCCTTTATCTGTCTAGCTGTTCTTTTCTCTCTCTTTGGGCTCTATCCCCGCCAATTGTTTACTCCTTACTCCCTCCTCCCACCCTATCTTCTGTATACAAACTGACATTTTCCTAGCTACCATCAGATCTGAGGAAGGGTCACTGGACCTGAAATGTTAACTCTGATTTCTCTCCATAGATGCTGCCAGACCTGCTCAGCTTTTCCAGCAATTTCTGTTTTTCTTTCTGATTTACAGCACCCGCAGTTCTTTCAGTTTTTATCTGGTTACTGTCTGCGTCAAGTAAACATGATCATTTTCTAGCTTGATACCTTAAAAAATCTAGTTCAGGCAATATTTCAAAGTTATTTTGAAGTGAAGCAGTTGTTTACTTAAAACATATCATTTTTAAAAATCATAAAAAGCCCTGAAGGTTATATTTTAATAGAAGCAGAAGGCAAGAACGGATTTTTGTTTTGTTAAATATTTACAAATCTGTGAGATTACTAATGGGATCTTTAACTATGCTGATCATATATCAGCTGGAAAGTGCTCAGACTGTTTCATTTATTAAATAAGTCTAATGTAGATGGTCTTCTTCATGGGGGAGATTTTATTTGTACCATTATTTAGATGCATACTTAACTTTCTAAAAAAAAAATGTTCATGGGATGTGTGTGTCACTGATGGGCCAACATTTATTGCACATCTCTCAATGGTCTTGAGAAGGTGGTGTTGAGCTGCCATCTTGAACTGCTTCAGTCTATTTCATTTAGGTAGAGCTACAATATCATTAGGCAGGGAGTTTCACAATTTTGGCTCAGTGACACTGAGAACCAGACATATATTTCTAAGTCAGAATGGTGAGTGGCTTAGAGGGATACTTACAAGTAGTGGTGTTCCCATGTATCTCCCTTTAACTTATTTCTTTACTTTTGTACTTGTATCTGAGATTTTGTACATAGGTACCATGTACCTAAGATGGCACCATGAGTGGCGACTTTGTAGATTTTTACCGTACTCCTGTATCCCTGTACTTGAGTACATATGACAATAAACATGCACTTCCTAATTTGTTCTTCTTGATGGTCATGGTTGTAGGTTTAGGTGGTGCTGTCTAAGGAGCGACGGTGAATTTCTGGAGTGTATCTCGTAGATGGTACAAACAATCATGATATTTTGTCCTAGATTCTTCAGTGTTATTGGAGCTACGTTCATCCAGGCAAGTCAATAATATTCTATCACATTTCTAATGTGGCCTAGTAAGTGGCGAGAAGCCTTTGGGGAGTCAGACATTGAGTATTTTCTGCAGGATTCCTAGCCTTTGCCATGCTTTTGTAGCCATAGTAATTACATGGCTAGTCTGGTTTAGTTTCTGGTCACTGGTATGATGCAAGAAGTCAAGAATGGAGGAAATCAGTGCTGGTAATGCCATTGAATGTCAAGGGGCAATGGTTAGATTCTCTCTACCGATTATTGCCTGGCACTTGCATAACAATTACTTGCCAATTGTCATCTCAAATCTGGATGTTTTCCAGGCCTTGCTGCATTTGGTTATGGATTGCTATAGTATCTGTGGGGTCCTGAATGGTGCTGAACATTATGCAATATTAGTGAACACCCCAATTATAATGATGGGAAGGTCTTTGACATCACAACTGAAGATGTATGGGGCTAGAATACTGACCTGAGGAAATTCTGCAGAAATTCCTAAGCTAGAATAACTGGCCTTCAACCACAACCATCTTCCTTTATGCCAGATATGACTCCAACCAGCAGAGAGTTATCCCTTTGATTCCCATTACTAGGACTTCATGATGCCACATTTGATCAGTTGTGGCCTTGATGTCATGGACAGTCACTCTCACCACACCTCTGGAATTCAGTTTTTTTTTGTTTATGTTAGAACTAAGGCTGTGATCAGGTCAGGAACTGAGTGACCCTGGTGGAAACTAAACTGAGTGTCACTGAGCAGGTTATTGTTAAGCAAGCGCTGCTTGATAGCACTGTTGATGTCACCTTCCGTCACTTTACTGACGATCGAAAGTAGACGTATTTGGAACAAGCACAGAGAGTGCTGGAGAAACTCAGTAGTTCTGAACAAGAGATTACCATACTCAAAACATTAACCCTGTTTCTCTCTCCACAGATGTTGCCAGATTGCTGAGTTTCAGAAGCATTCTCTGTGTTTATTTCAGATATCTACATCTGCAGTATGTTACCTTTGGCTGTAATTAGATTTGTTCTGGCCTTTGTGTACAGGACATACCTGGGCAATTTTCCACATTGTCAGGTAGATGCCAGTGTTGTAACTGTACTGGAACAATTTGGTTGGCGGCATGGTAAATTCTAGAGCACACCTCTTCAGTCCTATTGCCAGGATGCTGTAGGCGCCCATAGCCTTTGCAGTATCAATTGCTTCTAGCCATTTCTTGATATCGTCTGGAGTGAATTGAATTGGCTGAAGCTTGACATCCATGATGTTGGTGACCTCTGGAGAAGGTATCCACTTGATACTTCTGACTTAAGATTGTTACAAATGCCTTACTATTTTCTTTTGCACTGATGTGCTGGACTCCTCCATATTGAGGATGGGTTCCAGTGAGTTGTTTAAGTACCCACACCATTCACGACTGGAAGTAGCAGGACTGCAGAGTTTAGATCTGATCCCTTGGCTGTAGAATTGCTTAGATCTCCCTATCACTTGCTGCTTATGCTGTTTGTCACGCAAGTAGTCCAGTTTTGTAGCTTTATCTGGTTGTCACCTCATTTTTAGGTATGCCTGGTGCTGCTCCTGTCATGTCCTTCTGCCCATTTCATGAACTAGGGTTGATCTCCTGGCTTGATGGTAGCGGTTAAGTAGGGGATGTGCTGGACCATGAGGTTGCAGATTGTGTTGGAGTACAATTCTGCAGCTGTTGGTGGCTAACAGTGCCTCATGGATGCCTGGTCTTGAGATAGTCGATCAGTTTGAAGTCCATTCCATTTAGCATGGTGATAGAGCCACACAACACGGAGGCCATTTTGTGTCATGGATTGACACAGAGTAGATAAATGATCAGTTTTGTTTGTTTTGGTTGAGGAACAGCTAGAATATGGTGACAACTTTCTTGCTGTTATTCAAATATTAGCATGAGATCTTTTATGTGTGTCTGAGACAGCAGGTAAGGTTTCATCTCATCATCTCATCCGAAAAATGTCAACTTCACCAGTGTAGCACATTCACTGGTGCGCTGAATGATCAGCCTGTAACTAAGGTAGCAACTTAAAATGTATCAGTGTGATCAGATGATAAGAAGGGAGGGTGGAGAAACAGCACTAGGTCTGGGGCTGAGAGATAACTGTGCAGAAGAGGGAGAGGTGCATAATTTGTGGAATTGTGCTGAGGCAAGAAGTTACTGGTTCTGGCACTTTGAAGTTTGCAGATATGACTTTTCCTCCTTGCAAACATTTACCTGGGATTTCTCTAAAGACTCTCCCAGTTCCCTGCTGCAACTCCTTTGGGAAATCAATGGAACCCCAGGATTTTCACTAATGCTACGGGAAGAGGTCAGGAAAATCCTAATAAGCCTTCGATACTTTGAGTTGGATCTATTGAGAAGGAAGAGTATAGGCAGTGATATATTGCCAAATAAGCACTAGCAACTTATTGTGTAATACATGATTAGGGTGGGGGGTTCAAAACTAGGGAGGATATACTTATGTTGAGAGGAGAATGGTTTACGAGACCTGAGGGGCAATGTTTTCACACAGATGGTGGTTCATATGTGGAATGAACTTCCAGAGAAAGTGGTAGATGCAGGTACAGTTACAACGTTTAAAAGACATTTGGACAGGTACATCAATAGGAAAGGTTTAGAGGGATATGGGCAAAATTCAGGCAAGTGGGACTAGTTTAGTTTGGGAAACTTGTTTGGTGTGGACGAGTTGAATGGAAGGGTCTACTTCCTTGCTGTATGGCTCTATGACTCAAAAACGCGATCGAGAGTATTCTCAATTTGACAACATGACTTTGTCTCCAAAGAACTGTGTATGGTGGTCAATCTTGCCGATACAGTCATGGACAGATATGTCTGTGGCTGGAAGATTGGTAAGGATGAAGACAAGTGTGTTTTTCACTTTCTTGGTGACCTCACCACCTGTTGCAGACCCAGTCTAGGAGATCTGTCCTTTAGGGCTTGACCAGCTCAGTCAGTAGTGGTGAAGTTGAGCAACTCTCGAGTACTCCAGCGTACTTTCTGTGCCCTTGTCACTCGCCCACGCTCCTTCAAGTGCTGTTCAACATGAAGGGCAACTGATTCATCAGCTGAGGTAGAGTGGCACATGGTGATCAGCAGAAGGTTTCCTTGCCCATGCTTGACCTGATGTCATGGGACCTGGGGTCCGTGTTAAAGACTCTGAGGGCAACTTCTTCCTGTCTCTGTATTACTGTCCCACCTTTGCTGGGTCTATCCAGTGACTTACCCATTAAGTTATGATTCCAATAGTATGCCTATGTCAGGCTGTTGCTTGAGACGGATCTCCCAATTTTGGCTTATCCCAATTTTGGCATAAGCCCCCAGATGTTAGTCAAGAGGACTTTGAATCATCGTGTTTGTCATTGTTGTCTCCAGTACTTCAGTTGACGCCTTAGTTGTTGCCAGATGATCTATCTGGTTTCACCTATTTTTTCTTGAATACTTTTTAAGAGGTCAGATTCGACCTGAATGGCTTGCTAGGCCATTTCAGATGGTGGTGAAGACAACCACATTACTGTTGGTCTGAAGTCACATGGAGGCCAGATCAGGTAAAGATGGCAGTTTCCTTCCCTAAAGGGCATTATGACAATTGACAGTGGTTTCATGGTTATCATTAGATTTTACTTTCAGATTTCTTTAGAATTCTAATTGTACCATCTGCCTTGGTGGGATTTGAACCCAAGACCCCAGAACATTACCTGGGTTCTAGATTATTAATCCAGTGACAATTCCATCAAGTCATTGCCTCCTCACCACCTGTATTTTGTTTTGGACATCATTGTATGCCTGATAAAATAGGGTTATCATGCTCCAATATGATTAAATTAAGAATGCTTGGTAGACCACCATCTTGTAAAAATTTAGAGTATTTTATATTGGACTTTTCAATTTTCCCTTGCGAATCTTGTAACTGAAGGCATAACTTGTTCAAATGACAATCTATACAATAATCTTGATCAAAACACTTTTGCTGAAGACTTGAATATTACTTTTACCTTAGGTACCAGAAACGGTTGTGAAAAGACCTCCTTCATATTTCTACGACAAGAACTTCCAGTACGGCTTTCGAATATCATGAAGGAAATCAGCCTACTTCCAGATAATTTGCTAGGAACTCCATCTGTTCAAACTGTTCAAAGTTGGTGAGTGTTGAGAAAAATAGGTGAAGTATAGCAAAATGTTTTTATTTAACTTTATGTTTAGATTATTGTGTGCTACTCAGAGAGTGAATTTGAGTGACATTGTTTTGTGGATAGAGTTGACATTGATCAGCAGTGTGCTTCTTAAGATCTGAAGAAAGGGCCACTGGAAGTGAAATGTGAACTCGGTTTTCTCTTCACAGATGCTGCCAGACCTGCTGAGTTTTTCTAGTTATTTCTGCTTTTGTGAATGCTTCTTATACTTTGTTTGGTTCCTTAAAGCATGTTAATTTTTCAGGAGAGGTGGTTGTATAGTGGAGATGTCACTGGACTAGTAATCCAGGAAACTGGCTCAAATCCCAGATGGTAAACTTTGAATTCAGTAAATATCTGGAATGTAGACCTAACCTAATCCAACTGGTTCTCTAAGGAAATGTGCTGTCCTTACCTGATTTGGCTTACATGTGGCTCTAGACCAATAGAGATGTAGGTAACTCTTAATTGCTTTCTGAAATGGCCTAACAATTCACTTAATTGTATCAAACCTCTATAAGGACTAAAGAAAGGAATGAACCAGATGGACCTCCCAGTTTCCAATTAGAAAGCAATAATAGCAATAGCCCTCTCGACCCAACAACAGGGAATTTATGCCAAAATTGGGAGAATTGTCCCAGAGATTTCTCCTGCAATGGTCTGCCACAGTCATACTCACAAAATTATATCTTATAGATGCCAGGCAATACCATCACCACCCTTGGTTTTTTCATACCCTTTCGGTAAGACAAACACAGCAGAGATGGCAGCACAGAGGTACACAGTCGTGAAGGAAAAACACTAGAAGTCCTTAAAACTGAATCTCACCTCATGAAGTTTCATGATGTCATGTTAAACATAGGCAAGGAAACCTCTTGCTGATTACCACCCACTGCTTTCCCTTGGCTGATGAATCAGTCTTATTTCATGTTGAACAGCACTTGGAGGAAGTATGGATTGTGGCAAAGGCATAGAATGTACCCTGAGTGAAAGACTTCAATGTCCATTATCAAGAGTAATTTTTAGTACTATTACTGACTGAGCTGGTTGAGTCCAAAAGAGCATAGTTACTTGACTGGGTCTGCACCAGGTGGAGAGGGAACTATCAAGAAGGAAAAAGCTAGTTCGACTTTTCTTCACCAATCTGCTTCTTGCAGATGTGTCTGGCCATGACAGTATCAGTTGGAGTGAGCATGGTACTATCTTTCCAGAGACATGATCTGTTCTTATATTGAGGATAACTTCCATTGTGTTGTGTAACACTATCACCATGCTAAACTGGGACAGGTCATTCATGAGATGTGTAGGCCATCAGCATCAGCATCAGCAAAAGTGTATTCAAGCACAGTCTGTAACCTTACAGCCTCCATTTTTCCCTTACCATCAGGCTGGGAGATCAACCCTACTACAATAAACAGTACAGGATGCCATGCCTGGAGTAGCATTAAACATACCTAAAAATTTTACATTAACCAGTGATGCTACAATGCAGGACTATTTGCATGCCAAGCAGTGGAGGTAGCACACAATTGACAGTTATATGCAATCCCATAACCAACAGTTCAGACAAAATTCTGCGCTCCTACCATATCCAATCATGAATGGTGGTGAACAATTAAATAACAACAGGATGTCTACAAGTATCCCCATCCTCAATGATGGGAGGGCACATCACAGAAATGCGAAATACAAAGGTGAAGTATTTGCATCCATCTTTAAATAAAGTAGGCATTCTTCATGTCATTTAAGAAAATGACTTGGCAAGTGAATTAGGCAAAAGAGGACTCAACATTGCAAAGTAAATTGACAAGTAAAGTGCAGGAAACATATGATTCACTGTTGTCACAAAAGTTAAAGATTTTAAAAGGTATGTAAAGTTGCCCAACTTACCTGACTGTTGTACATTGATTGATACAACAGATGGGCCAAATTTCTGCACTACGACAGAATCACTATTTATTGTAAGTAATTAGGCTCTAGCTACAGGTAAAAAGTTGTATATACATCAATTACATAATACTTACAAGTGAAACTGTTATCCCTTTATAAACGTCCCCTTGCGTGCACACATACAAACAGGGTAAAATAGATTATGGACAGAGGGGAAATAAACTAGAAAGACAGTTTAATAGCTTTTGTTCTCGCGTACTGTTCTTGAGATCATTCTTATGACCCTCTGCTGGCCAACACTTCAATTGTGTTTTGGTTGTGTCTGATTGCTTCCACTGACTGGTAAGAAACACAAGGTGCCTCATTTATTGTTAAAAAAAGCCTTTGACTTATCAGTCAGAAGTCACAGCTAACAACAACTGTACAGGAAAAATAAACTTGTTTTCTTCAGGTTTGCCCTGAGCTTTGACTGCAGAGAACAGAATAATTGCTCCTGAGCAAGGAAAGAACTGAACACATCTCTCACTCTGCAACTTGTTCCCAGCTGCAAGCTGTTAAGTTACCTGAAAGCTATTGACACAGTCGTCGAAAGTCAACAAGGTCCCTGTCATTGATTACTGGTTACTAGTCCACAGACAAATCAACTACTCATTGCCAACAAAAACTGCGTCAATACACCACCCTTGGCTCCAAATCGTCTACGATGCAACTTCAATTTCTACTTCTAACAGTTGTTTATAATGATTGCTATGGGTATCAGGTTACTTCTTTTTAAAAAGTTACAGTACCCTTGCCAAAACACATTGTAAATAAAAGTTCTTTCTCATTTCAGTCCCCAGTTTTTAAAAAGACATTGTTCACATCCACACGATTTTAGAGTTTTGGGATTTAGGCTACTGGTAGAGTAGAGTAGTACAGTACTTGGATTTAGAGTCGTACCTAGACTGTTGTTTAAGAATAGTGTATTCAGTATTTTTAAGAGAATTTAACACTAGAGGTCATTTAGTTAGCTGTAAATTAATTTAATAGAAATTTATTTTTAATTAAGTTGTCACTAGAGGGTGAAAATGGCAGTCAGTGGGGCAGTATGCATCTCCTGAATGTGGGAAATCAGACACAGTTTAAATGTCCCTGATGACTACATCTACAGGAAGAGTGTCCAATTTCAGCTCCTGTCAGACCCTATGGATCGACTGGAGCATGCCGGAGGTGGAAAGCATTATATGCAGGTGTTTTACAGAAGTGGTCACACCAAGTTTCAGACAGATAGATGGGTGACCGTTAGAAGGGGTAGGCAGACGGTGCAAGGGCCCCCTGTGACTTTTCTCCTCACTAATAAGCATACTGTTTTGGATACTGTTGGGAGCATTTGCCTGTCACGGGATGGCGACAGCAGTAGCCAAAGCGGTGTTACCACAGCTGGCTCTATTGTACAGCAAGGAGGGTCAAAGTGCAGTAGTAATAGGGGACTCCATCATCAGGGGCACAGATAGGCAGTTCTGTGGCCGCAAAAGAAACTCCATGATGGTATGTTGCCTCCTTGGTGCCATGGTTAAGGATGTCTCTCAGCAGGTGAGGGGCATTCTCAAAAGGGAGGGCGAGCAGCCAGTATATATTGGTGCTAACTACATAGGCAGGAAGAGTGATGAGGTCCTGCAAAGGGGGTTCAGGGAGTCAGGTCGCATGTTGAAAAGCAAAATATCTGGCATTGTAATCTTGGGATTGTTCCCGGTACCACGTGCCAGTGAGGCTAGGAATAGGAAGATGGTTCAGTTAAATATGTGGCTAAAGAGCTGGTGTAAGAGAGAGGGCTTCAGATATGTGGATCATTGGGATGTCTGCCAGGACATCGAGGACCTCAACAGGAGGGGCAGGTTGCACTTAAACTGGAGGGGTACCCATATCCTGATGGAGAGGTTTGCTAGTATCAGTCGGGAGGGTTTAAACTAGTGTGGCAGAGAGTGGGAACTAGAGCAGTAAGTCAGCAATTGAAATGAATGGGAAGGAGTTAGAGACTAAGGCCAATAAGGTTAAGAGGAAGAACAGATAGGGAGAGGTTACTGAACACGGCAATACTAATGGTCTGAAGTGTATTTGTTTTAATGCAAGGAGTATGACAGGTCAGGCAGATGAACTCGGAGCTTGGATTAGTACATACTACTATGATGTTGTAGCTATTACAGAGGCTTGGTTGAGACAGTGACAAGACTGGCAGCTTAAGGTTCTGGGATTTAGATGTTTCAAGCGTGATAGAAAATGTAAAAGAGGTGGGAGAGGTGTGTTACCGATTATGGAGAATATCACAGTTGTACTGAGGGGGAACACTGTGGAGGGCTCATCCAATGAAGCTATATGGGTAGATCTCATAAATAGAATCACTTTGATGGGATTGTACTATAGGCCTCCCAACAGCCAGTGGGAAGATAAAGGAACAGATATGTGGACAGATTATGGATAAATGTAAAAGCAACATGGTTGTTGTGGAGGGTGGTTTTAATTTCCATAAGTTGCATAGGACTCCCTCAATGCCAGGGGGTTGGATGGCTGGGGGAGGTTGGATTTTGTTAGTTGCATCTATGAAGCTTTCTTGAAGCAATATGTAATGGTGAACCAGGGAAGGGACCATACTAGACCTGGTATTGGGGAATGAGCCCAGCCAGGTGATTGAAGTTTCAGTGGGGGAGCATTTTGGGAATAGTAATCATAGTTCTGTAAGTTTTAAGTTACTTATAGTTAAGGATAAGAGTAGTCTTTGGATGAAAGTATGAAATTGGGCAAAGGTTAACTACAGCAACATTAGACAGGAACTTGGGAATGTAGATTGGAGGCAGCCGTTTGAGGCTAAATCCATATTTGTCATGCGGGAATCTCTTAAAAGTCAGTTGATTAGAGTTCAGGACTAGCATGTTCCTGTGAAAATTAAGGATAAGGATGGCAAAATTCGGGAACTTTGGATAACAAAAGAAGTTGTGAGCTTAGTTAAAAAGAAAAAGGAGGAATATGTTAGGTTGACGAAACCGAAGACCAATCCCTCGAAGAATATAAAGAAAGCAGGAAAGTATTTAAACTAGGACTTAAGG